TTCCTTCCTTCCTTCCTTCCTTCCTTCCTTCCTTCCTTCCTTCCTTCCTTCCTTCCTTCCTTCCTTCCTCCCTCCTTCTCTTTTCTTTCTCCTTCCTTCGTTCTCTTTCTCCTCCCTTCCTCCCTTCCTCCCTCCCTCCCTCGCTCCCTCCCTTCCTTCCTCACTGTTCATCTGTCTAATCTGCAAATCGTCCTCAAATCTCTGGTACTCAGAGCTGGTTATACCTGCTCCAGCAGGAGAAAAGTAAGAGAGAGCAACAGAAAGAGAGAAAAGATGTTTTTCTAAGCAATTAGTACTGGGAGCAAGCGAGCCAACAACACCCAGATTTCAGAATATTCTTCTATTGTCCTTTCCCTGCTGCCCAACGTGGCCCTGCTGATAAAAGCCAACTTCTTTGAATTCAGACTGGAGATCGTCTCGCTGAACAGAAAACGGAGATGCAAAGCGGAACGCCGAGGGCTCTTTCAGGGAGAGAGACCTTGCATCGGCTGGCATTCTCTCTTTTGGCACGGCTCTTAAGAGGACAGAAAGTCTTCAGGCTTTCAGATTGCGTGGAAGAGAGAAGAAAATCAAGGGGAGCCGAGATTTCTAGGGTGACTGGAAGGGCTGTCCAGGGAAGAGATGGAAAGGGCCGAGAGGACTCCTGCATTGAACCCGGACTGGAACAGGGGGACAGACTAGGTGATCCTTAGGTTCCCTTGCAACATTCAATTTCTGGGGAAATCTCCGATCTGCAATTCCAACCCGCCCTGGTTTGAATCAGCTGGGCCAGTCGAAACAAGAGACGGGTTTTGTCTGCGGCCAGGCCCCCCTGACCTATTTCGAGCACGTCCAGGCGTGTGTGGGTCTGTTTGTTGGTGCAAACGGGGTGTGTGTCAGTAGGGTTGAAGCGGTGACGTCCCCAAGCTTAGAGAGAGAGGGCACCCTGCCCTGAGGGTGGGGGGGGTGGCTGTGCTTTGCAACCCACCACCTAAAAATAAGACTCTTGCTGTTTGCACCTGAAAAGCCACAAACCCCCAGGGAAAACTCACACCAGTTGCCCTCAATTTTTTCGGCTCCATGCATCATGCAGGGGCACAACACCCTTGGTTTCTGGGTGTCTCTAAGCCACCATTCATGGTTCAGCAGCCCGGGCCAGCTCAATCCTGGTTTATTCAAGGAACCCCAATGAAACACCTCGCAACTCAGTCTGCCGCGCCCACCTGCACCCAGTTTCACGACAATCCTAGTTGAGCAAACTCAAGGAGAAAGGGCCTTGCCCTTGGGGGTCGGACTAGGAGACCCCCCCAAGATCCCTTCTGATTCGAAGCCACAGGCTCCAGTTTCATCCTGGTGATCCTGGCCAATGATCTACTGGGATCGGGGGCGACGAACATGGGGATCCACCACACTACGCTAGGGGGACTGCGCTAGGGGGTCCACCAGACTGCACTTTGGGAACATTGTGATCCACCAGATTACATTTACACTTCTCCGTGGCAGCACCAACACGCTGTTGGGGGTTCGGTGGTCCGAATCTTGGAGCGGTTTTTCCCAAATGGCTCAAAACCGCAAAGCCGCTTGACGTCCGCCCTCTCTGTTTTTCACTTTCTAAATTGTGTATGATGCTTTTGCAAACGTCTATTGTTAATGCCTTTGGTGGGGTTTTTCGATCGTACCCGGGAGGTTCTAGCGGGATGATGTCTTCTGCGCCCGCCGCCGAAAATCGGTTTGTCTGTTTTTTAATTGCAGCAGGATAGAAAGTTGTTTCCCAAATAAAGAAACTCCAGAGCCAGGAAGGTTGCGGGGTGATTCAATTATTCGGAGATAGGCTACGTCTGAGCATGGAGGCTCCGCTTCTAAACCCCTCGAGATCACCCCAAAGTCACCGATTCTGCCTCTTCCTTTTAAACAAATCTCTGTTTGATCTGCTGCGTGGTACGCTTTAATGTAATAAGCCATTGTTTGATTTGTTTGGGCAAACTCGTGCTTTAGAAGGAGGGGTGAGTCACGCCAAGCGTGCGTGCACAGACGCACACACACACTATGCTATTCGGAGAATATTTCAGGCAGCTTTTCCCCGGACCTGGCAGGGTTCCCAAACACCGCTGGGGTGAACCCCTAGCCTAGGCCGGCCGGGGCTGATGGGCTTTGGAGTGGCCACACCGTTTGGCCGGGGAAGGGCAGTGCCCGTTCTTTCGGCACTCTGGCGCTGCCGGCCACGCTGGAGACCAGACGGGGTTGGGGAATTTACACCCTGCTCTGCGAGGCTGAGGAGATGCGAGCTTTGCCGACTCAGCGTTTTGGAGAAGCCAGCCCCGGGCGTCTCTTTGTTTGGGAGGCGGCATTTCTAGGCAAAGCAACCTTGCAGCTGCTTGCCTTTGGATCGGGGAGAAGGACACCCAGATTTTGCAAAGAGGAGGCCATTCCCCCCTCAAGCTTCCAGAAGGTCTCGTTTTTCAACCGAAAGGAGATAAGCACTCTGCGCATGCCCAGAGGGACACCCAGGCGAACCTGCCCGAAGCAGAATCCGAACCCACAGACTCTTTCCCAGCTCTTCAGATCCCACAGGCCTCTCGGCAGATGCTGGCCTGGCGGGGGAAGCTTCGTTTCTTGAACTCCAGGCAGCTGCTGTGCAGCCCAGAACGTGGCCAGGTCCCACGGCGAAGGAGAGAGCAAGAGACCAGTAAAATAGGACTGTAGGCCTCCGGCGACAGGAAAAAACGAACTATCTGGAGCTCAAAGCTAGACTGTCCCTGAGCGTGGAGGTTCCATTACAGTTCTGCATCAGCAGAAGAGAAAAGCAGGAAGAATAACGTCTGCGCTAAAGAAGAGCCTCGGAAAAGCCGAAAGCTTCCCCACGCTTGTATGGCTGATCCCGGTATAAATATCAGCCGGTTATGGGTTTCGGATATTCCTTTCCCTTGCCAGGACAATAACTCTCCAATGACGTTTGCGGCATTTTAAAAGCTTTGGAACAACTGTTGGAACCGTGGCAGATTTATTGCGATTGCAAAAGATGGAGATGGAGGAGAAGGAATGGAGGTGGAGGAGAAGAACATGGAGGAGAAAGAGAAGATGGAGAAGGAGGAAAAGGAGATGGAGATGGAGGAGAAGATGGAGGACAAGGAGAGGGAGGAGAAGAAGATGGGGAGAAAGAGAAGATGGAGAAGGAGAAAAAGGAGATGGAGATGGAGGAGAAGATGGAGGACAAGGAGATGGAGGAGAAGAAGATGGGGAGAAAGAGAAGATGGAGAAGGAGAAGATGGAGAAGAAGGAGAAGATGGAGAAGAAGGAATGGAGATGGAGGAGAAAGAGAAGATGGAGAAGGAGGACAAGGAGATGGAGATGGAGGAGAAGATGGAGGACAAGGAGATGGAGGAGAAGAAGATGGGGAGAAAGAGAAGATGGAGAAGGAGAAGATGGAGAAGAAGGAGAAGATGGAGAAGAAGGAATGGAGATGGAGGAGAAAGAGAAGATGGAGAAGGAGGACAAGGAGATGGAGATGGAGGAGAAGATGGAGGACAAGGAGATGGAGGAGAAGAAGAT